GGTGAACAAAGTGAATCATATCAATAGAGGCATGTCACACAGTAAGAACTTTTTGAAAAAAAAACAAAAAAACTAAATACTATTTGAACAAAGAGACCGAATTAAGCTCTTCTTAGCCAATTACCCAAAGAGGTAATGTTATGGCCATTGTGTGGTATGCGTAAACTTTTAGCTCAGCTGAAGCAGACGTTTAAATGAGCTTTTCTGATATAAATGTCCATTTTCTGCTTTGTAGTTTAAGAAGTATTTCAAGTATTTTATTCATATTTTTCATAATATACAAAAAAGTATACAATGAACATGGATTGAACATGGATTTTCTGCTGTTGTCAATGTTTTCACAATTTTATCTTCTTATCCAGAACCACTGAGTCAGTTTCAACCAAGCATGTCAAATTTTATTGAAATCGTTAAACGAAGGGCCCCAACTTTTTAAATGGGAGACAAATTTTATGCCCCCCACCCTTCAAAGAAGGGATGGTGTATTGCTTTGCTGCTGTCTGTCGGTGGGTCTGTCGGTCCCTTTACTTTGCGTTCATTTTCTTCACAGCATGTTGCAAATACGGAAATGAAGTTAAGTATACAGATTTTCAGATTAATATTCAAGTCAAATTTTGATTTGTGGAAGATTGCGCCATTTTTGAATTAGTTATGTCCCTTGGACTAAAGAAAATGACAATTATTTGCAGTTTCCATTTATTAAGTGACCTGAGTAAACTCAGGTGACCTATTGCTATCCGTTTTTGTCCGTCGTCGTGCGTCGTTCGTCGTGTGTTAACATTTGAACATTTTCAGCTTCTTCTCTGCAACCACTGAACCAATTTCCACCAAATTTTAGAAAAAGCATGTATTGGTAAAGGGGAACAAAATTTGGGAATTTCATGGTCCCTGCCCCCCTGGGACCTGCGAGGTGGGGCCAAAACCACTAAAATTAGTGCAATCTTTAAAAATCTTCTTCTTTACTCCTGGACATCAGGCAGTCAAACTGTTAATATGAATAGAATGACCATTGAGTCTTCTAGCAAAATTGTGAAATTCATGGCCCCAGGGTCAGGGGTTCTACCCAGATAGCAAGCTTACGTTGGCCCAATGTTGGGCCAACGTTGTAAGTTACGTTGGTCCAATGTCGGAAAATGATGTCGGGCCAATGTAATTTTGCTCATCTGCGTAACGTTGCGCCGACATGTTGGCGCAACGTTGGCCCAATGTCATAGAACGATAATTCTGACGTTGGTCCAACGTTGGGCCACCGTTGTCAGATATGCTGGCCCAGTGTCGGAAAATGTATATTGGGCCAATGTAATTTTGATCATTGGCGCAACGTAGCGGCGACATGTTGGTGCAACGTTGGCCCAATGTCATAGAACAATATTCTGACGTTGGTCCAACGTTGGGCCACTGTTGTCAGTTATGTTGGCCCAATGTCGGAAAATTTATATTGGGCCAATGTAATTTTGCTCATCGACGCAACGTTGCACCGACATGTTGGCGCTACGTTGGCCCAATGTCATACAAAATTTACAATTCTGATGTTGACCCAATGTTGTCCCAACATATTTGTGTACAAGGATATTAAGAAATCTATGGAATTCCATGGAAATATAAGAAATCCCAGGAATATACAATGAAAACTGAAATAATGATAACATCACAATTTATCATAGATCAAATCTATATTTCAAAATTAAAAATTCGCTTCTTTTACAATGTGTTTTGAAACAAATATATATAATATTACATATACACTTATAGATGTACAATGTAAGCACATTTTTTCAAAGTATTCTCACTGATCGACATTCTTGTAATAAAACAAACTATTTATTTTATTAAAATATGGCATTTGACTAAATGATATTGGGAGAGGTCATTGCAATTACAAAGAACTTCCAGTTGCCCATGTACATTTATCGTACAAAGTTAATGAATAGACTAGAGTGACAAACACATGTATTTAGTACAAAATATCCACTACATAACTACATTGATAAAAAAGATCCATAAAATCAACACATGCTATAAGTATTTTCACCGAATATGCCAAAGACCCTAATTAAGTTAGATCCGAAATTTCTCAAGTATCTACTTGAATCACTTCCTCACTGATATCCCATGAAACTCACAATAATAAACAAATAAAATATGGCGTTATGTTAGAGGGTAGCCAAATAAATGATTATGTCAGTCACGAACGGATTCACTTTAAGTAGGAAGGTTCAGAAAGTTCAATATTGATCATTTCCATAGTCACTTCAAACTTTGCAGGCACAATTTCTGAAAGAAAAGATGACCATTAGGATGTATTATAATCAATATCTATTGCATATTTAAACAAAAATATATGACAATTAACAAAATAAGACTCTACAAGACTGTAAAGACAATTGGTTATTTCAACCTGACAGTTCAGTATAGTCAGTGTAGAATAGAAATTCACTATCTTGCATTGTTTTTATTTAGGCAAAATTAGGCAAGGGGTCTGGGGGCCGCCTAATGGGGCCCAGGGGGCGAAGCCCCCGGAAGCTCCTGGATTCTAGAGATTTTGTAGGGTAAAAATGAGGTCTACCAATTAGACATATTTACATTTTCTAGACGAAACTGTGATTTACGCTTACTTTGACAATTTTAGGGGGGGGGGCGCCGGGTGCGGCTCCGCGCCCCCCCCTAAATCCGCCACTGTTTAGATTACTTGTCAGAATCCATTGTTATGTACTTTTAGGATAAGGAAATTAAAAATTAAGAATATAAACCTCTTGTTTACTTTAGTAGATGCAATATTTTTTATAGTTTTATGCTAAAAGATATAAGTTGATAAAAACAATGTTAGGTCATTTGTGTTACTTTAAAATAAAAAAAAAATGAGGTGGTTCTCAGATGCAATATTTTTTATAGTTTTATGCTAAAAGATATAAGTTGATAAAAACAATGTTAGGTCATTTGTGTTACTTTAAAATAAAAAAAAAATGAGGTGGTTCTCACCTTTTTTACAAGCTGACAACTCGCTGGCACTGTGGGAATCGTTTCGGGCACAGTCCACTGCATGCAATTATTAAATAATCAAAATAAGTGCTGAAAATTATCTTGAACATGTATTTAAAAATAAATATTCACTGCTTGAAAAAACACCTTTACAAAACTTTACTTGCAAAGTAAATTTCATTAAAGGTGCTCCAAAAAGCAAGGTCACCTTTGTATTAACTTTACAAAAAGTAAAGGTGAAAAGGTAACCTTTACTTTCACGAAAAGATAATTAAATATAACCTTTCACCTTTAATGCCATATTAAAGTTCATTAAATATACATATTTTATAAAAGTCTTATTTAAATGCTGACTATTGTCTAATTCACTTATTCTTTGGATTTTCAGTTTGTTCAAAGAATCTAATCTAGTCAGTACCCAGAACTTTAAGAAAAACGTCAAATATTTTTTTAATTATCTAGAATCAATTTCCAATTGAAATTAGTATTAGAAATGGTCATCTACAGAATCAAACACTCGACTCATCATTATTTGACAGACTACACCTAAAATAATACAACACCTATGCTGTAAGCCAGGTTACCTTAGTTGAAGCAGCTGGCATTTATTTTGATACATGTAACAATATATAAATATTTAAAATAAAGCACTGCAATGCAGTTGTAAAATATTTTACATTTAATAAATTGTACCCTTATCACTGACATTAAAAACCGCCCAGGCAAAAACCATAGATGGTTTACTATGGAAAACCTGTGTCCGTCGCTATGTAAATAATGTCTCAAAGGAGAATGCCGGACGTGCATTCGGTGCAATAGTTAAAAATGCAGGAACATCCGATAATAATTGCATGTATGAAAAAATCCAAATTAAAATACATTACAACACTTTTGTTATTTCCATTACCAGTATATTTATACAAATATGATATAAAGATTATATATAAAGCAAAAAATAAAACTGTGTTTATTGAAGAGCACTGGCTTAGAATGATTTGAACACCTTACTGAATACTCATTTCTCATTGGCCTTCCTTTGGCCATGCCAACATATACAACCAAAACAATTAATATAGGTTCCTCACATACAATGTGTTCCCGCAATACTACAAAACACAGGAAAAAAATATTATCTGCACCAGGATTGCCTACAAATCTCTGAATTGGATGGCATAGATCTTTAATATGTACATTGATATTAATGATAGAGTAATTAACAATATAACAATGGGAAAAATTGGCATATTGATAATTTTCATTTTCCAAACAAAAATGATCCAAAATATTCTGCATTTTTGCTTCTCATCAAATGATGAGTCAGATATACAGCACAAACAATATCTAGTCATAACCTTGAATATAAACATTATATTGAGCTATCTTTGTCTTTTGATTTCCTTTAAACATTCAGATACATAAGAGAAAAAATTGAAAAAAAAAAATACAGATGATAAGTATAAATTTCACATTTCTGCTTTTGAAATGGAGGTCTCATTTTACTTTAAAATATAATACCGGTACATTAATTATTCTTAATGGTGCATGTACATTTATAAATTAAACTTTGCAGTTTGAATAGAATGTGGAAAAAAATTACATAAAAGGCTATTTCATTTGCACTTATATACAGGCTAATAACATCTTCAACTTGTAATGCAAAATGATGCATTTTATACATATTCACAAACTCAAAAAATGGTGAAAAATCTAATAGAATATATACGAGGATGCAGTTTGCAAAATGCATGAGATCATGTACGAGTCCAGCTTCACCCCGTGAGCCTGTCTGTGCTTGATTAAGTTTAGATAATGTTTTTATGTCTGTGGTAAATGTAAGTGTGTTTGCATATGTGTCCAGTTTCACATATTTTCATGTATGTGCTCGACTTCACACGCCTTGGAAAATATGTAATAGGTTGTGGCAGATGCATGTGTATTTGTGTATGTGTCCAGCTTCACACATTTTCATGTATGTGCTCGACTTCACACACCTTGGAAAATATGTAATAGGTTGTGGCAGATGCATGTGTATTTGTCCAGCTTCACACATTTTCATGTATGTGCTCGACTTCACACACCTTGGAAAATATGTAATAGGTTGTGGCAGATGCATGTGTATTTGTGTATGTGTCCAGCTTCACACATTTTCATGTATGTGCTCGACTTCACACACCTTGGAAAATATGTAATAGGTTTTGCAGATGCATGTGTATTTGTGTATGTATCAAGCTATACGCGTACGCTTTTCATGTGTGTGCTAATTTTACACGTCGACAAAATAAATATGTTAAATATGTAATCATGGTGGTGTAAAAGGTTTACAAGTGTATGATGCACAAAGAGAAAAAAAGTTCTGTGTGTTTTGTTCTGCAAATCTGCATATAAATAAACTACAATTATGTCCTGTTGAGAAACTGACAATCATAATAAGTAACATATTCATTTTACATAACTGTACTGAAAATTACACATCCAGTTTAAATTACTGTACTGAAAATTGAATTTGTGCAAAAACTCTCTGGCTGAATAACATACAAAATTATGAATGCTTGCATGTTCATCTATAAATCTCTAAGATATTTCCTAGTTAGCTTGTAGCGCCCCACCGGGCAGTCTTACAACACATTTCATAATGTCAGTTTGCATTTATAAATCAATTTATCCTTGTTCCTCATATCTTGAAAACAGATCCCGAAACTCTAGTCTACAGTTTATTTACACAGCACATCACAAATAGAAAAATCAGGAAAAATAATTCACAAAAAATAAAATTCAAGTAAAATATTCACGTGTACATATAAATCCGAGAAATATAAGGTAATATCTCAAGTAAGTATGTAGCTTTATCTATCTCTAACATTTCTATCTACTAAGTCTTCTATATTTCCATCATCTTATCTTATTCTAAAATTCTGTTGCACTATAGATATATTCAAGATCTGCTCCTGACGATCAGGAGCACATTATAAGATCCTTAAGATCAAGAGTCAATACACAGTCATTAGGATCAGCAGGGAGTTATATAAGAGGGGGCGATTAATATACAAATAAGATGATAACGTGTGAACAATTAAGTAATGAAGAGTTATATTACAGATAATATATTCTAAATCACTACAAGTTTACAAATTTTTGATCATATCATTGATAAAAGTATATATTCTTGACAACTGTATTGGATTCCCCTCTCTGACAACTTCTTGTTCACCAATTAGTTCAACAGTCATCTGGGTACTCAGGTGCTGTACAAGTCCTAAAAAAATCATTTTCAAAATTATAAAGAAAAACAATACAATTTTTAGATAGGTTTTCATTATTACTTCAATTGAAATTAAAGCACAAGCTTTTGAAACATACTTAAGTAACTTAAAACATGTATAACTAAACATAATGGAAATATAGACAAAGCAACTCAATGTCAAACATATGTAACATCTGTAATATCCATTAAACTTACTGAGATACTTAGAATGTTTGTGGGGTGCTTTCACTGAGCTAAGCAATATATAAACATTTCTTGATTACAGTTGAAGGCCAGTTCTCACCTGACTTGCACATTTATATGGACTGGTTCTATGTTGATAATCTCTTTCAACTATCTTCATCACAACATCTGAAAGTAATCCACCTTCAAAATTAAATCTGACACTCACCTCAGGTGCATACAGACTCCCTGTACAAATGCATGGAAAATGAAATTTTGAATAAAAAATGAACTATCTCTTCACCATACCTGGCCTCTTTAAAAAATGTGAGGAAATCATTTAAATATATTCTTTACATAAAATCATGAAGTAAGTATCCAACAATGTTGAAAAAACTCATCTCTAGAATTTTACATTTATATTGAATGAAAAATGCATTGTTCCCGCTAGTTAAAAAAAATCAAAATACATTACCTAAAATGGAATGAGGTACAACTGTGACTGGTGTCTCACAGTCTCAGGCATGACCAATAAACACAAGACCTTTCCATCCTTAGCAGCATGCATTAGATCCACATTCCTTGCAACTACAAAAATATACAATGGAAATTTTTAAAATGAGAGCGAAGAGTGTTACATGTACTTGGGGGAACAGAGGAAGGAATTTTGAAGTCAGATTAATTATATTTCTGTCAGTGTTGGGACGGATAAATTTCCATAATAAAATGAAATGAATTATTCGCAACAAAAAAGACACATGTATTACCTTGCAGTCACCGTCGTACAAAATGTATACAGCTGACAACACCCCAAAGCTCTTTCTTTGTTTACTTGGCGGAATTTTCTTTGCATTCTAGACTGGTTCCCTGCTCTGGTTCCCATACATTGCCGTGAATAAGTCCTACGTTTATTGGTTTTGTTTTCAAGCTTCAACATCAATAAAATCTCCAGCACATTTACAGCCTGTATCGAAACTACACTGAAAAAATACTTTACACACCGTTGTCAGCTCAGTATTATGTTATCCTCTTCATTCACGTAATATGTAAACTTCTCCAATGTAAAACGAACGACCTACTCTGAACAGTAACCCTCCCAAATATGGCACTGTGTATTCGGTTGAATAGCCAATCATTTCAAATCAAGTTGAGCGGGTCTGCATCGTTATTTTGACGAAGTTTGAAACCAGCGGTAATTTTTTGATACTTCATCTAGATTTAAGAAGATTCTTGCCTTGACAACTGCTCGAACTCCCGGGTTGGCATGCTCTAAAGGTTTGTTTACGATTTCCAGCCGTTTTCACTTTCACTTTCAGATCAGTACATTGTGCATGTTGTGAATGAAGGAATCTAATCAAATTCACGCAAAATGACGCTTTGTATGTTATTTACTGCCAGGATATTAGATAAGTATTTTTGACAATTTGGGGATTTATTGTTTATGTGCGTCACTTAATTCTGTAAAGGTGTATGAATTAAACAAGACAAAGATAAACATATTCTGGAGTGGGACTAAAATGAGTAGTAAAAACCAAATCATGCCGGGAATTTGAAACTGAAAACCGGATTTTTGCTTATCACAGAGAATTTACACTTTCAAATGTCATAAAACTTAGAGTTGGCTAAGAGTTTCAACTCCAAATTTGACAAATAAGTTTGTTTTATTTTGTATTTTAAACTGTGTCCATTTTCTTTAAACACATGCAGGTAGTGAATTCAGTATGCAGATTGTTGAAGGGAAAACTTCAAGACAGGGCGAGGAAGCCGGCAAAACATGATTACCCAGATTGAGGATCCCAGTGTTCTTTGGTACAAGCACATTTTTATAATAAAGAAGATGGGCGTATAAGGCGAGAAAAATGCCTATAGCGCGACTGATAAGAAGGGAAAAAAATTAATCTCAATTATATCCAAATTTTATGTCATATCTCATCTAATATTAAAGTATAATTTATGTTAAATCTCTACAATTTACAAAAATTTTACAAGGACTGAAAATATTAGCCTATGAAAAAGGTTACACACACTAAAAAGAACAAAAACGATCATTTTCTCATACTTAAACAATTTTTTTCAATATGGGTGGGTCTTCTCTCCATTTTTTTGAAAGATGATCCTAAAAGTGTGCAATAAAATACACATTTTTGGGTTTTCAAAAACATGGAGAGAAGGCCCACTATACCTTAAAAGTTCACTTTTATGACACAACATTAGCATGTTTCCGAGAAATACTTCAAGTCCGATAAGTCGCGGGTCATATCACAAACATGAATTAAATGCCTTACATCAACATGAGCGTTGTAGTATAGTGGTTAACGCATTAGTCTCAAAGTAGTATGTTATTGATACGTCTGTTTTTTATTGCTAGGGTTCGAATCCCACGAACACAATCTAATAATTTTATGAAAGACATTTTTTACGAGATTTTTTTCACTCTCAAAAAAGTATTTTTTTCTCATGATTTCAAAAATTTTAATAATCATAAGCTAATTTAAATAATCAATTCACATATTTAATATGGTTTCTTAATTTTGGACACGATAGGCATTCTGCCCGTCTTGTTCGCCCATCTTCTTTCATGAAATCTGTTACTTGAACAAACATTTACATTATTTAGTGCTTGACTTGCTCGGGAGTCAATATCGTCATATATTTGTAAAAAAAAAATGTTCAATTTCCTTTGTATAGTCTCAAGCTACAGAGCCTACCATGAGAAAATTAAAAGATCTGTCATGAAGAAGAGGCGGGTTCTCAACTTTCATATTTATTATAAATGGCAAGTATTGTTTCAGAACTAATTTTAGATTATTCTTGATAGAAAAATAACATAAGGGTGTTTGTTAATTCATAGCTATTATTTATGATTGCATTGTGTATTAATTTTCAAAATCAATTCATTCTTTGGTGAGCAAGTGCAGCGGTTTGTTTCAAACTCATAATTTTTTATATTAATTTGTCCATATGCAGAAAATGTTAATCACTGTACAAATTCTATTTCAGCATGATTGTCATCTTCAATTTGAGGAACTCTCACCTAAAGTCCTTTTACTGTTCCATATCAGGAAAAAGTTCATGAGCTGAAACATGCGATTGGAGAAAAAGGTACATATATCCTAAATCATAACTTGAGTATCATTCTGTATACGTGTACAGCTAAACTAAATATGTAGCACTATATTGTTCTCTTTGTAAACTGACAACAGAGTAGTCAGGAAACCTTTGATTTCCCAATGTTTCAGGGATTTATTCTTTGTTTTTGTATAGAACCCTTAAAAAAATACATAGTTCTCAAGTTGTAATGTATAGGCTTTTTGTGATAAGGGATACATGACCTAACCATTGATTCTTCATATGAAATGTCAATAACAAGAGTTCCACTCATTAAATTCATAAATTTGCATTTTTTTTGCTTTTTGAGGTTAAAGGTCATTTTAGAACTTTTTATTTATGAATTAGGTTGTTCCTTGTTTTTATTTTTATAAATCATGGTATTTTGAATTCTGATAACACAGACGCCTTTGAAAATGTTCATACTTATGTGTGGCACTGAAAAAATACTTATAGATTTTCTTTTTCTTTTAGAAAAAGCATTAGGAAAATGCCTGCACAAGGGGAAAAGGTTTGGACTCAGAAAATGGAGGTGTGACAAAACCATTTTGACAGTTGTTGATTTCCACTAAAAACAATATCCACAAGAAAGAGTACATAGTTTTATGTTGATTCACAATTTTAATTCAAGAATGTACAATTGGTTTTATTATAAAACATGTCAGTGACACATACAAAAAAAACATTCGTGAAATGTACTCTGTCTTAGATATGTATGTAATTTGCAGGATAGGATGAGGGCAACATAAACTGCCAAGAATCTTGATGATTTTGATCTTATGTTTGTAAAAAGAAATGTTTTGTATTGTAATAAACAAAGTTAAAGTCAGCTTTTTTGTTACTTTGTATATTAATTATGATGTTTACATTTCCAAAACTTATCAATTTGGAAGAAAAAAACTTTATAATTATTTATAATTTGAATAAGACTTCATTCACTGGAATGGAAAACATAGCTTATTAACTTTTGTGGTTATTAAAGATGGTATTTAATTAAATTTAGGGTTTGTAAATATCAGATTGTGGTTATTAAAGATGGCATTTAATTAAATTTAAGATCTGTAATTATCAGATTTCATATATCCTAAATACTGTGTTTAATGGTTGTAAATATTAACTTTACTTTTTTGTAAAGTCAAGATAAAGTGGGACATTACATCATATTTAAGTGCATGTAAAGTTAATGTAAAGGTCACCTTTCCAACTTTGACTTTTTTCAGAAAAGCCAATTAAAGGCATTGTAAATAATAAATTTACATTATCTTTACTTGTTTTGTAAAGCCAAATTTTCATGCAGTGATTATTACATTGTACAACATACTCTGTAAATGTTGAAGAGGGGAACACTAACATTCCTGAATCGATCCCAAACGAGGAAATTCGGGTTGAAATCCATATTTATGAGAGATGTTTAGATGTGTTAAATTATTAAAACAAAATTGAAATAGCGTTTGCTCAAATGATTTCACTGCAAGGCGTTTTACTAGATACATGTATAAATATTGATGAACGAAAGCGATTTTGATAAACGTGTTACGGCGAAGACCACTTATGCCTAGAAGACAAATCTTTAAAAAAATATTGCAGAGGATTTTGTTTTCTCCTATAAGATCTCAAGCATTTTCAGCAGTGACATCGACTGTGTAAACATTCAATCATATATTGTAAACGATTGCTGTAAAACGTTTTAAACGTCGTTCTGAAACACAACACACTTCTTCTGAAAGAATATTAGGGAAGATATGTACATATATAAATAAAAGAAACATGTGAACTCATCATGCTTATGGGAATACATTTGAAAAATGTTTTTTTTTTTTTCAATCACATGGACATGAACATAGATGTTTCACTCCAGCATATATCATAAAGCGACGGAAAGTTATTTTGAAAATCAATGATTATTTTTAATCAAAACAGTAGATCTATAATTTGACGTCAATTATGTCACAATGGAGATAGCGCTCATCCGTGTGCTGGAGAAAATGAAGTGTACAAGTTTACTTGAAAAGAATTGGAAGGAAAACTATTTGTAAATGTAAATATTTAGAATTACTATAATTTGGTCTATAAGATAATTCATGGATGAATACTATATCAAAAAAATATATATAATGCAGTTACAAGTACAATGTAAAATAACCTCTTTTCATTCAATGTGTTCAAATGTCTGAACCCCCCCCCCCGCCCCGATTCCAGGTCACTAAGAAGAAAAATCGTTGAGCGTTCAAAGCATGAAGAATAAGGCCTTTGAGGACTGTGAACTAGTTTATAATATATAATTTATTTATACTGATATAGTTACAAAATGAGTGTTTTTGAGATGAAAAACTGAGTTTGAAAAAAAGAGTTATTTTCGTGACCACTGTCTGTGATAAGTAAATCATTATGCATCACATATAAAATGAGCATCAGCTGCCAGATTTTCAGGGAAAAAGTATTTATTTATCTATAAATGTGACATTTATTGTCTTTAAACAGATTATGCATATTTAAGGTCCAACAGCAAACCATCATATGAAAATGTTAAATCTTTCAATATTCTAGAAAGGGGGGTACTGAAATGCGTGTATCTTCAAATTTAATCCGATTACCTTACTTCATATTTTAACCATAACTCACTTATAATGACTATTACATCATATATTAGTTTTAGAAATATTCATTGGGTATTTTTTGTTTAGACGTTAAAAACTGCTGTTGAGGTGAACATTTTACTGCAAATTTACAATTAATACTTCCCCCCAAAACAATGGCATTTTTACATTTTTCAATAATTTCCGAAACAGTTTTTATTTTCTATAAAAATAAAGCATATTATTAAATATCTACAGAAAATATTTAATTTGCTTCAATTTTGTTGCGTGTAAAGCATTATAAAACATTCACCTAATAACTATAAAAAGATTAAAAATTTGTAGTTACCATGGCAACCATAACTTCCTTATAAGCCTGATAACCATTCATGATACTTTGATATAATGGTATCATTGACATTAGGAACGTTATAAGTAAAAATGAGAAAAATTCATTGGGCAGAATTTTTTCACGGACCCGTGCAATCCTTTCCTTAAATAAACTAACTAAGAACATAGCCATGATAAGGAGGAATGTTTTTTTGCAAAATTGTGAGTTTCATGGCCCCAGGATCAGGGGTTCTAGTACTAGTGGGGGGGGGGGGTTCTATTGATGATATAGAGAAAACGCATTATTTCTTTAAAGGTCCTCTTCTCCGCTGCTGGGTATTCAACGAATTATCTAAGTATGTACGCAGCATTGTTAAGGCTTGAATTAGGGGGCGGGGCCTAATTTATACGGGAAAAGTTTACTGTGACGTCACACAAAAATATGACTTTTATGTATTTCTCATAATACCTGAAACTGAAATTATTTGCAACTTTTAACTGTATTAGCTTAATAAACAATAATAAAACCTATCAATGCATTAAAAAAAGTTGCTAGGTAAATCCCGTGTAGCTAGTTTTAAACAAAGCACTGATTGTGATGAACTTGTATATATGACGTCATTTTGGTAAACATGACGTATTTCATGTACTGTGAGAGGCAAATTTAGCAATTTTTTAACAATGAAAAATGTGTTTTAAAATAAAACGGAATATTATTGACAGGTTTTAAATAGTCGATTAATACCAATGTAGATCCTTTGTTTAGTGCGATTATTCATGAACTTTCAAGAAAATGTATTTTATTAATTATGTGTTGTTTTTAAGTACAGGTTACGTATATTTTACATCGAGATGCACCATAAAATCGTACTTTCGCAAGGGCATACACTGCATAGATCTTAATCATTTTTTGAACATAGATAAAGGATATAATCCTTAACTGGAAAAGTGCTGCTGCTTTCTTCAAATCGAAGGCGTGATTTCATAAGTACACAAAATATTTTGTAAAAGTCTTATATTTTTTGACATTGGCCTATTTACTTGAAAATTTATCTATTAAAACGCAAATTCTATTCAAAGCAGCAGCACTTTTCAGAAACTACAAAGTGTGCAGAAACAATTAATAGCTTGAATTTTTAATTTCAACTAGGGTATGCCCTTGCGATATTGAGATTTGTAAATGACCTACATTCAGTACACGTACTTTGCATTCATCACGTGACTGTCCATCGATGGGATTAACTTCATATAGTACAGAGTGGGTAATACTATGCTACTTCCATAGGTATTAACGTTCTGTGATAATAAAACAGCTTAATTGAAATAAATTTAATTCAAAATAATATCCCCCTTTTTGCACATATATTTTCCGTTGATTTTTCATAGTAGGCCTTAACAGTGCTGCGTACTTTTGATGAGCAAGAATGGTTCTTCACTAATTGTGAATTTTATGGCCCCAGGGTCAGGGGTTCTGTTGTTAGGGCAGGGCTCTATTTATTAAATAGAGAAAATGGGAAATCGTTTGAAAATCTTTTTCTCTGCTGCTGGGTATTTAATCAATTAACTAAGTAACTATATAGTTATGATAAGCAAGAATGCTTCTTCCAAAATTGTGAATTGTATGGCCCCAGGGACAGGAGTTCTGGTGTTAGGTTGGGGCTCTATTGATTATATAGAGAAAATGCAAAAATTGTTTGAAAATCTTCTTCTCTGCTGCTGGGTATTCAACGAATTAACTAAGTATATAGTAATGATGCGCAAGAATGCTTCTTACCAAAATTGTGATTTATATGACCCCTAGGTCAGGGTTGTGGTGTTACGGTGAGGCTCCATCGATTATATAGTGAAAATACATTAATTCTTTGAAAATCTTCTACTCTGCTCCTGAGTATTAAATAAACTAACTTAGTACATAGTCATGATGAAGAAGAATGCCTTTGTGAATTTTATGACCTCAGGTTTAGGGGTTCTGTTGTTAGGGTTTGGGCTCTATTGGTTATATAGAGAAAATGCAGATATTATTTGAAAATCTTCTTCTCTGCTCCTGGGTATTAAGCAGACGAACTACCTATATAGCTATGATGAGCAAGTGTCATTCTTCCTTTATTGTGAATTTCAACGCCCCTGGAACAGGGGTACCATGGTAGTGGGGGAGGGGGATAGTGGCTCTACTTATAAACTGAAAAATGACTTCTCCTTTGTATTAATAAAATACTTTTGATAAGCAACGGTGCATTTTCCAAAATCGTGAAATGTGTGAACCAAGGGTCAGGGGTTCATGTGTGGTAGTGGCAGTAAACTGATTATTGCTGAACATTACTGATTAGTCGAAATGGATTTTTTTAATCCCTTACTCTGTCTATTGGTATTAAGTAACCAAACCAAACAAGTTAAGTGTACAGTTACGACTAGCAATAGTACCTCTTTCAAAATTGTGAATGCCATGATGTCTAGTTTAAAACATGAACCAAATTCAATCCTTTTAAAGTTGTTGCATGATGCTCAGGTGACCTATAAGGCCCATGGGCCTCTTGTTTTCTTTGCAGAAGTTGCACATACGGAAATGAAATTTGGTATACAGAGTTATCAGATGAATAAACAGGTTAAGGTCTGTTTTGGGTCCCGCCATTTTTGAGTAGTATTATAAAGTAATCCCCTTTGAATTATAAAGAATTAAATTTTTTGCAGATTTCGCTCGGGTTCTTTGCAGAGGTTGGTTGCATGAACAGCAATGAAATGTTATATACAGGTTTATTTGATAAATATCTAGTTGAAATTATGTTTTGGGTGCAATCGCAAAGATTTTGACATATATTTATGCCCTTGGATTAAAAAAAATCTAATTAGGAGGAGGGGGACATAAGTGTTTTACAAATATCTCTTGTTGTTTTACCCTTTGGGAAAGAGTCCAGTACCGATTT